CTGTGAGTGAAACTAAAAATCAACCAATATAGCTATTTAGATATATTTTTCTCACATTTATAAAGATTAGAATGCATTATTTCATCAGTTGGATACCCTCGTTTAAAATATTTTAGGTCATAATTCCAATGATATTAATATCACCAAAGAATCAATTTGTTTGTTTGTTTTGAATTTTGTGCAAAGCTACACGAGGGCTGTCTGTGATAGCTGCCCCTAATTTATCAGTGAAAGACTAGAGGGAAGGCAGCTAGTCATCACCACCCACTGCCAACTCTCGGGCTACTCTTCTACCAATGAATAGTTGGATTCACCATCACATTATAACACCCCAATGGCTGAAGAGGTGAGCATGTTTGGGGGGACAGGGATTCAAACACATGACCCTCAGATTGTGAGTCCAGCACCCTAACTACCTGGTTATGCCAGGCCCAAAGAATCAGTATCAAAACCTTAAGATAACACGTAGCTACATACACCAAAAGACTGTGATAAATGTTGAGTTACTCTGTCTCAAACAGAATACACCCAACTGAAAGTCTCTGGATATAATAACATCAATCCCATTTCTGCAACAGATTTGGCCCACTAAAAAATTCATCATACCCAGATAGTATAAGCACATAATTTACTGTTTCAGCAATGGCTCAAAGAAATTCAGGAACCAAATTCCCAATAAAGTATCTAGGAGTCCTCTTATTATCCTATGGGTCCTATCCGTTCTTATTCTGAGCAAAATCAGTAAATTTGACAATACAAGATTAGTTCTGGAACCTTTATATATGTAAGATTAGTTTGTTTGTTGAATTTCACAAAAAGCTACTTGAAGCCTGTCATGATAAAAGACTGTTTAGTTTAGAAATTATTGATTAATTTATTTTCTGAGTGAGTATTTTATTATTGTTTAGTTTTTGTTATAATAAGAGTGAAATACACACGATTGTAGGAAGTTGTGTTTATAATTCACTGATGTTGAGACTATCAAACATCATGTGCAATACACTGACGTTTAGAATATAGAGATCTCTAGAAGGAAGAAAGATAATTAAGAGATAGATATAAATAGTGTAAGACGAGTGGAAACAGCAGACAGACATTAGCAGAAGAGAGTAAAGTTATGGACAAGGAAAAGTTCAGCATAAAGTTAACTACTGTAAAAGTGATAGGCCTAGGGAGATAAGAAAAAGAATTATTCCATCAAAGCATGGTTCTAAAATAATTGAATCAGCCTGAGTGCACTTTGACAAAAGGAACAGAAGATATTTTGAAGAAAGAAGACCAAACAATTATGGTAACTCACACTACAATTGTAAGTGATTTACATACAGAATACCAGTGTGATAATAATAGAGAAGATAGTTAAACTATAATCTCTAGTGTGAAGAATTTGTTGTACATACGTTTAACTTCTTCCGGATATATGTTTTATTTTGAAAACAAGTGAAGTGCATGCTGTTCATTTATCACTGAATTTATTGCCAACAAGTCATAGACAACTACTGTAGAAGAATCCTAAGCCAAACAAGAACACAGTATATATTCATACTATTAAGAAGTACAAGTCAAAACCTTTTATTTTGCCAATTGGTCAAAGAATTATATTTTAAATTCTGACAATTCGCGAGCCAAGTAGTAGTAAATGGCGATAGAAGAAAATGTGAACAACAGCAGAAATAAGTAGGCCTATATATGCACAATCAATTCAGGTGATTTTGATAAATGGGTAGAAAGAGGATCTCATCCTGGGTTAAAAGACAGTGAACCAAGAAAAGTTCTTAAACAACAACAAGAACTAGAGAGAGAGAAGAGTAAAGAAACAGAAGAGAGGAAGAAAAGGAAAGAGAAAGACCAAAAGAAGAAAAGGAAAGAGAAGAAAATGAGAGAAAGGAGAGGCTGTAAACAGAGAAAATAAGAACACAAATTGAGAAAGAAAAGAAAGAAAGACTGAAAGAAAAAATGAGAGAAAGGAGATGTGGGACATAGAGAGACTAAGAATACAAACTGAGAGAGAAAAAAAATGAGAGAAAGGATAGGTGGGAAATAGAGAGAATGAGAATACAAACTGAGAGAAAAGAAAATGAGAGAAAGGAAAAACTGGAAATAGAGAGAGAAAGAATAAGAGCACAAATTGAAAAAGAAGAAAAAGAGAGAGAGATGAGAAACTAAAAATAGAGAGAATAAAAGCACAAATTGAGATAGCAAAACTCAACCCAACCGAAGGAAGAAGGACCCAAGAATGACAATAGTGTCAGGGCTATCCGACCTGAGCTGCCCAAATTTGATGAACAACGATGATAAGGATGCTTTCCTGGAGGGATATGAAAAATTTGCTCAAAGTCAGAACTGGGACAAAGGTGACTGAGCAGTCTTTCTCAGCCCACTTCTTACAGGAAAAGGACCTACAAGTATATGCAGGCATGACGTCAGAAGATGCCATAGATTATGACAAAGGTTTTCATCGAAAGTTCAGAGGAGCGAAACCCGACACTGGAAAAACTTATTTCAGTTTGTGGCACGTCTGCCACAATATTTCACCAGATGGACTGACATGGCCATGTGTGAAAATAGTTTTGAGGGACTGGCAGATCTATTAGCTCATGACAACACATTCAACTGAAAATGTCACTATTCCTAAAGGAGAGAGCACCAAAAGATGTATTTGAGACGATCAAGCTGGCAGAACAAGTAATGGCAGGAGTTTACCAAAGGTGACAGGAGGGAGAAGATATGCTATGTTTGTTATAAATGGGACACATGGCAAAGGAGTACAAGTCCATTACTAGCAAACAACATCAGTAACCTGAACATTAATCAGCTGGATCTATTTACAAAGACAGTGCTGGTAAGAAACAAGAAAAGACTGACTGGCACTATGGATGCTGATGCCAGAAGAAAGAATATCAAAACTACTTGTCAAATTCAATAGAAGAAAAGCATGACTGATCAATGCACGAATAATGGTCAGCTCAAGTTAACAAATAGATCAACAGTGCCAATAGTAATGGGAGTATGTGACAAATATCAAGAGTTGCCAATATGTGAAGGCTATGTTGGAGACAAGAAAGTGAAGGTTCTACAAGACACTGGGTGCAGTAGTGAGAAACAGTCTAGTATCAGATAACAGGTAAGGTACACCTGTGTTTACTAATTGATGGGACAGTGAGAAAGTTTCCTATAGCAAAAATAAAGGTGGATACTCCATATTATGTAGGAGATCTTGAGGCCATGTGTATCAAGGAACCAATACACAACTTAGTGATGGGAAACATAACATGTAGTAGAAATTTGGAGGAACTAGACAGAAAGAAAATTGATGAAGCATCTGCTGTGACCACCAGAGCTCAAGAAAAGAAGATCAAATAAGACATCAAGTCCCTACATGTGTCAAAAGGCGACATCCCAAATTTAGGTTTGCAGGAACTGAAAGAAGCACAGAAGAAAGACCCTTCACTGCAGAAATTTTGGGACAATACCCAGGAGAAAGTCAAGCACAAAACAAAGGGGAAAGATACTTACAGAACAGAGGACCAGAAGGGAGTTCTATACTGAATCTATCATAGCAGTTATACTTGTGAAGTTAAACAGATCATAGTACTAACAGAATACTGGACTCAGGTTATTTAGTTGGCTCATGAATCAACTGTGGGATTGTGGGAAATCAGTATGTTCTGACAGTAGTCAACTATGCAACACGCTATCCAGAAGCAACAGCACTGGCAAAGATAGAGACAGAGATAGTAACAGAAGCCCTCATGGAGATATTTGGCCAATGTTGGCTTTCTGATAATAATCCTGAGTAACAGAGACAGAGGGACCCAGTTTACTTCAGAACTGATGCAGGAAGAGTGCAGACTCAGCAGTATTTGGCAACTCTTTAAACAGATCATAGTACCAACAGAATACTGGACTCAGGTCATTTAATTGGCTAATGAATCAATTGTGGGATTGCACCTAGGAACAAAGAAAATGGCAGACAGAATCACCAGTAACTTACATTGGTCGGAAGTCATCAGAGATAGTAGCATAATTTTCAGCAAGAATTACAAATAATAATTTTTTAAGTATATGTTTAAATAAAATAATTTATATTCTCTTGGAAATATACATTTTAAAGCTAAATATTCTATCCTAAATTTAGGAAAAAAGTTTTGAAATTTGCAATTTAATAAACATTTACCCTTTACCTCAATATTGAAAGGAGCAAATAGATTTACCAACCATGATAAATTTGATTTCAATTTAATTCATTTAACTTTCATGACATTCTCTTATAAACCATTGATGTGTACACATTCATATGAAATATATAAATACCATTTGGTGAGAAAATGGGTAGAATTTTATTTTTATCATCAGCTTCAAACTTTCAGTTTACTCCTTGAAATGATAGTTATAATTTATGAGAGTAATGTCTACCATACAGAATATTAAAATTATATCAAATTAAGTTGATGTGGAGGGAGAAATTGAGACTATGAAGTATAAATAGTACATAGGTGTTACACATCTTTAGACAATGACTTGCATCTATAGTTTTTTACTATTTTATGAGGAGAAAAATCTCTAAAACACTGACAGTTTTATTCCAGTTTCAGATGCCACTATGAATTTGTTTGTAACACCAGATTATATTTACCAACAAAATTAGGATCAGAGTGCGATCGATCCTATTTAACAGTTATAAAACAAAAATCAGAAAATGAAAAGACTTTTGTGTCCAGAAATTACTACCTTTATTTTGTAAAATTTTAGCTCAGATAAAAGCAAACATATTTTCACAGATGAAAGTCACAAAGAAGTTATAAAACTGTACATCTTTCAATTGCACTTTTTATCCATGTCTGGCCAAACTTTGTCGTTACTCTGCCACATGTGTACTTTAAGTGTAAGTTACTCATCGCCAGTATATGGGTAAAAATTTTGAATGAAAAGCTTCACGAGATAAAAAAAATGTCTTCCTGTATATTTAACTCAAAAAATCTTATTTTTACATACAGTACCTCATCAAAGTCTCCACGAACAACATGAACATCACTAGCTAAGGTCTTAAGGTAGTCATATGATTCTTTAGTACACAGATTTCCTGTACATAGAATATGATGGATTCTTCCCGGCACTAACAACTTTTTAAATTTGGCTGGAAGACCCTGACAGCGATGAGGAATGTGCAAGTCTCCAAGAACTAACACCAACTAAAAGATATAAAGCCAGGTTAAGTAGTTAGCACACAGGATCATCGACAAAAGTTGGAATATTTTCAAGACGAGACCCAAGACTCGAGCACTTTTGAATAGTTGACTCTTCTTCTTTATTCTCCTAAAGAAGAATGGTCAACTATTCGAAAGCACTTGAGTTTTGGATCTCGTTTTGAAAACAAAAGATATAAAAAGTACACAACAAAAATATGAAACTTGTTCATTATTTTCTTTGCTGTACACCATATTTCAACTTAAGAGTAGCTTGTCTAAATGGTAAATCAAAATGCATTTTAAGAATAATGACCAATGAGTATATAAAAAAAGGTTAAGGAAAATCATGTGATAAATATATAAAGTAATAATACTATGGAGAACAAGTTGACTCTGCAATACACAGTTACATTTACACATTAAGATGTCCCCAACTAATAGAAATATAACACTCTGATATTAAGGCCTGAATGCCTAAGGCAAGTGAGAATATAATTCACTATTATCAGATTGTTATTTTATGTTTTTACATAAAATTTTTATATATTTTTTGTATTAATCCACTTGTGCACCACTCTGTGAATCACTCCTGTAATGTAAACTCAACTTTTTTTCTTTTTTTTTAGATTAATGGTTGTTTACCTTTTTTTGGATGTTTTAGTGAGTAAAAAGAGGGATAAATTGGAAACTGCCATCTACCATAAACCTTTCTCTGTAATCATTCTGCCACATCAACAATCTTATCACACTACATTTCAAAAAACCTGTGTTTTTTACTCTTACGTGGACAGAATATTAAAATTATGTTGTACACAGGATGATATCATTAATGAGTTATTGTTAATTAAGCACATAGCAGTGGAAAGAGGTTTTAATCCAGATGTTGTTGACAGAGCTATCATAAAACTAAAAAAAGATGGATAAAAATATTAAGTTAAAACCATTTGCTGAAAAAAGTAAGAAAGAATGTTTAGTACTATCATATATACCTGGTTTATCATGTCAAATAATGAAAAAATTTAAAAACAAATAAATATTTTTCCAATATACAAACCGATAAATAAAGTCTGCGAAATTCTTAATACAACTAAAGATAAAGTTGAATTAATGGAAAAATTTGGCATATATAAAATATTATGTGAATGTAAAAAAGTTTATATAGGACAAACTAGAAGAAATTTAAAATTCAGGCTGAATGAACATAAAAGAAATGTTCAAAATAATAATATTACTATTTCACCTTTAGAAGAACATGTTAGTGAAACTAATCACGCAATTCAATGGGAAAAAACTGTTATTTTAGCACAACCTGAAAATGTAATTGGTATGAATATATGTGAATCTATTGAGATAATTAAATGTAAAAAAAAGTAAATTTAAATTATTGAATAAGGATGATGGACCTGATGGAAATGTTGTCAGTAGATGGCATGAAATTCTTTAATATGTAAATTGGTGTTTTGAGAACTGTATAAATAAGTGTTATTTTGCAAAACATTACACTCCTGATGATGACACAAGATATACATCAAAACATGTAGTGTCTGAGATTGTTTTCCAGTCACGTTGGGGATTTTATTACTTTTTAACCTTGTACAGTAAGTTATTATTTTAATATTTTATTTTAATAATTTGGAGACTGGAAACAATCTCATTTTATTGAATTGTGTAAAAAATAATTGTTTTCGAAAGTAAACTAAACTATTGGATTTTAAGGGAAACGTACTCTTTCATCAGCATGTTGTTTGATTAGAATTTAACAATTAGTTAATTATGATTACCAGATATTGCTTTTGAAAACATCTAACTCATTATGATTGGAAACAAATGCAATTGTTACATTTTCAATAAATGCACTGAAGCAATATGCTGTTTGCTTTTTTTGCCTGCATAAAACAATACAGAACCTTATTTTTTTATTTAAAACTGTAGCAGGAGTATACTAATTTCACAATTTTGAAATTAATATTATAATATCATTAAAATTGTGAAGATATGTAAGAAATGAGCATATTAAAATGTGGTAAATTGTCAAAAAAGTTACTCAAGCCTTATGCGTGTGCAAAAAATGCTTCATAATGGTATAACAGCTTTATAACTCAATAAAACTGTAAAAAGTAGAAGCTACATGTTCAAATAACACGAACATTACAACCGCAATGTAACATTACATTACAACTGTAGTCCAAGATAACTAAAAACTTCCTCAGACAACCAACTTAAACCGTGTTGTCCAACGGACAACTAGTACCCTGGAACAGACCATTGCTCAAAATAGAATCGCAATCTACTGTATACTTATCCATGTCCACACTACACACATAATGTTGACTCCAATCCTTGACCAAATCATCAGTAAATTCCCTAACTACGAACTCGAAAATTTGAAACCCCAGAAAAATATATTTTGGTCCATTTCTTATTTGTTTATAAAAGATTGTACTCTGTCCAAGAGAAGTGTCAGTATAATCCACCAAAAGGGACTGAAAACTTTAGATAAAGATCACTTTTGTGATACGCTAATAATGCTGTTTTACTTTTAGTCACTAAACCTTCTGTTGTGGACAAGCTGCACGTAAGTTATGCATTGAGTACAACTGAGTATACAACTCACTTAGTTACGTAACCACACATATTTTTTGCAAGTTACAGCTTTTACAGTAAGTAAGATTTATTTTTTAAACAAGCATGACCATTTGATCACTGGTGCAATCATCCTCAAATACACAAGTTTTAACAGTAAAAAAAATGTTTAATATTTAACTCCTTCAACCTGGGCTCAACATGTTTATCTACATTTTTCAATTATTAACATTTAAGCTCTTTTTCTTACAAATAACCACTTAATAATCACACAATGGGGATGAACCTCTGCCCATCCTGAAGTTGTAAATGAGCAGCAATCAGAAGTAGTACACAAAATCCAGAAGCATAAGTGCCAACACTGTGGAAGTTAACTCCTTCAGCATGGGCTCGGTCCCTGGGACCAATCTCGTAACCATTTTGTGCTTGTTATAGTTTTCATGCTATAACTTTTAAATTAGTAGGCAAATGTTAATGAAATTTGGCAGTTTATCAGTAAACATTACAATGCTTTCATATGCAAAATATTTAATTTTTTTCTTAAGTCTTAAGGTTTGTAAAGCAATGTTTCTCTCATGCCTCTTTTTTCTTTTCACATCTTTTCTATCTGTCATGCAAAGTAATTTTTACTTTACAATTAAAAAGAGTTTTATGCATCAGAAAATTTTGAAATTTCACATGCGAAATCTTTATAATGTATGGCTAGTTATCAAACATTTCTTAAGAAAAAAAACTTTATAATTTATCTGTTATTTTCAGTAATTAATCTCT